GGTGACCCGCAGTGCGGCCGGCTGCCATGGGGGGGCAGCGGGCGCGGCCAGAGGAGCGGGGGGGGTGCAAGCTGGCGGCCCGCAGCGTGGCCGGCAGCCATGGCCGGGGCGGGGGGTCACGGCAGGGCCGGAGGAGCCATAGGTTGGGAGGGGCAGCCGGAGAAGGAGCCAAGGTGGGCTGTGGAGCGGCTGGAGGAGGAGCCAAGGGGGGCATGGCCAGAGGAGGAGCCAACACGCAGACCTTGTGAGAGAGAGAGAACCCCACGGCCCAGCGGTCTGGGTGCTCACGTTGGGCGTGGACACCTAGGGTCAAACCCTGCTCCAAATCTCACACAGCTTGGACTTAAAACTAAGTCTTCCACAGCCATGTGAACACTCTGCCATGGGTAATTCAGGCTTGGGGAGCGCTCGCTCACCAGCCGTTCCATCCTGAGGAAGCTGCCTGGTGAAGGTTTCATGGAAACCAACACGTTCGTGTGAAAAGGTTTGTTTTGGAGACACTGGCATCTCCCACCAACAAATGTGTCCTCAAAAAATGCCCGACCGGCTCAAGTTTAGATTGGAATGGGCTACTCCACCGTCCCGGCTTCATATCCCCTCAGCGCTGGATTGACGTCAGCTGTTCCAACTGCACCTCCATGGCAATGCAAACGACTCCCCAGGCTCCTGCCCCGGCCGGGGAGGAGGAATCTCTGCCTGTGACCAGGGTGGGGAGCGCCAGCTGGTGGGGAATCTGCACTGACCTGGGCTGAGACACAGGGATATTTATACTGCTGCCCTGGGAATCCCAGCAGGGGGCTCAGAGCTACCAGGGAACATAAGAACAGCCCTACTGGGTCAGAGCAATGGTCCATCTACCCTAGTAGTCTGTCTCTGACACTGGCCAATACCAGGTGCTTCAGAGGGAATGAACAGAACAGGGCAATTTATCGAGTCATCCATCCCATCGTCAAGTCCCAGTTTCTGGCAGTCAGAGGTTTAGGGACACCGAGAGCATGGCGTTGTATCCCTGACCATCTTGTCCTCCAAGGCTTATTTAATTCTTTTTTTAACATTGTTATAATTTTCGCCTTCACAATATCCCCTGGCAAAGAGTTCCACAGGTTGACTGTGCACTGTGTGAAGAAATACTTCCTTTTGTTTCTTTTAAACTTGCTGCCAATTCATTTCATTGGGTGATCCCTGTGTGACATTATTGACATAAACTGTGACCCTATAGATCATTATTGCAACCACTGTTGTATATTTGCAGCAAATATTGTACAGAGGTTGTTGTTTGAGGTGTCTATGAAAAGGTTATGATTTGCTGCTTATAATTATACTATCTGTATGTGTGTATCGTTTTGTAGTTGAAGTTATGAATATTGGCTCTGTACTTGTATCTCAATGTGTTTTGATTCTAAGTAGCCTCAGTGAAGCATTTGGTCAGCTCCTTGAGGAAGGACTATTCTGGGTAAGTGCCCAATCAAGGAACACTTAACTGAGAATGAACTTTGGGAGATGCCAATCTACATCTACGCTTTCCTGGGAACGTTCAAACTAACATGTAAATAATGGCATCGGCCTGAAAACTGAGTCATGCATGGACATGTGACTTGTCCATGTGACTCCAAACGCCATCTTGCTGCTGTGGTTTTCCACAGTAAGAACAAAGAGGTCCTTCCACAGGGCAGAGAATATAAAAGGCCCTGGAAACCCCTCCATTTTGTCTTCAATCCTGCTTCTTACTTCTGGAGGAACCTTGCTGCAAACTGAAGCTCTGAACAAAGGACTGAATGACCCATCCCAGCTGTGGACGTGCTCCAGAGATTTGATTTGAACCTGCAGTTTATTTCATCACTGCTACAAGCCTAAACCAAGAACTTTGCCATTACTGTATGGAATTCATTCCATTTAACCAATTCTAGCTCTCATCTATATTACTTTCTTTTTATAAATAAGCCTTTAGATTTTAGATTCTAAAGGATTGGCAACAGCGTGATTTGTGGATAAGATCTGACTTGTATATTGACCTGGATCTGGGGCTTGGTCCTTTGGATTGAGAGAACTTTTTTTCTTTTACTGGGTTATTGGTTTTCATAACCATTTATGCCATAACGTGTGGCACTGTTGGTGATACTGGGAAATTGGAATGTCAAGGAAATTGCCCGTATGACTTATGGTTAGCCGGTGACGTAAGAATGAAGTCCTCTCTGTTTGGCTGGTTTGATGTGCCTTAATAATAAAGGAACCCCAGCCAACCTTGGACTGTAACTGCCCTGCTCTAAGCAATTTGTCCTGAATTGATACTCTCAGTTGGGTCCCACCACAGCCAGCATCGTTACACCCTGTGCTTGTATTATGGGAAGGAGTAAATAACACTTCCTTATTCTTTTTCTCCACACCATTTATGCTTTTATAGCTCTCTATCATATCCCCCCTTACCCATATCTTGCCAGTATTTATTCTCCTTTCTAGTTTTTCTCATTAGGATTTGCTTTCCAATTGTTAAAAGATGCCTTTTTGCTTTGAACCACGTTTTCTGAGCAGAACCACGCTTCAAACCATTTTATAGGAGGGAACGGCCTCGCACTATTTAAGTCACATTTCCAATGGTATTTTGATTTGCATGTGTGTTGCCTATAGTTTTTTTTCTTCCCCATATGAGAATTGTTTAAATAAAAATATAGAATCCAGGCTGGAATAGGTGCCGAGAAGGGCTCCTAGGGTGGTCAGGGCAATGGAGGGCCTGGCTTTGGA